ATTGCCATTGCGCTGTTCATTGCCAAAAAGGCGCTTCATTGCCACAATGGTATAGATCATCATCGCCAATAAATGGCAATAATCAATACCTATAAAAACAGTGTGGCTGTTTTTCGTTCGGCTATTTTCCATTATCAGTGTTTGGTATTGACCTCGTTACCACTGGGTTGGCAATGAGCGGCCCATCGCCACTGTAGTGGCAGTACAAATATCCCATTTTCAACTCGTTGGAATTGCCAAATTTGGTAGGAGTTTCATCGCCAAATGAAATACCGTTTAGTATACTACCAGCGTCTTCAAAGTTTCAAGGTTAGGTATAAAGGATTATTGTCTTACCCAGCAGCTGTCATCAACAGTCTCATTTCTAATCGTTACGTTGCCGCTTAATAGTTGAATTTCTCTTGGTTTATTTGGATTGAAGTGAGTAGGACGGAAGTGCCACTCGCAAAACGAGCGATTTATTTCACACATATAAAAGCGTTCGGTGTAAAGTATGAAAGGGCCCTGTATGGAGAAGAAAAACGAAACAAGTCCCTGAAGACTAAGCAAAATGTGAGGTGGAACCGCGTGGAACTTTGTTGCCTACTTTATCCAAATTTTAAGTTGACAGTCAAGAAAGGTACCTCCACGAAAAAAAAAAACCTCAGCTGCTGTAGCTAAATGTTAGCTGGCCATAGACACTTGCTAAATCTTAAGCTGTTAAAGCAAAACTTTTGCTGTGGTAGTCAAATATTAGCTTCAGGAACTAATGCTTCCGTATAACAGTTTACCCTGAATGATCTGGTTTAGATGACGCAATTAGCTCTTTCAATTAATGCGTGGCTACCGCAGCAAATGTTTAGCTGTCAGAGCTGAAAGGTTAATTAGGGCCTGGGTAGCCAACGTATAAGCTATCACAGCTAATCAATAGCTTGTGGAACTTACGTTTTTTTTCGTGTTTTAAGCTTACCGCGAAGGAGTTGATGGCTTTGCTGTGGGTGCCCCTCTGGCACAGGAGTGCGAGAAGGGCCACACGTATGAATGACATCTTCGATCACCAGATTGCAATTGCAGTTAAACGGCACTTGCAAAGAAACATTGAGGTGCTCTTTACCCTATATGTTTTGCCCGTGGTGGACAAAGTATACAGACGGCCTCCTGCTCTGCTCTGACCAAAACTGAAGTCCGTACTGCAGCCATGCCATTTTCTACCTCAGTCAGGCACAGGAACGGCTGCCTAAACAGCTGGCGTGCTATAACTTATAACAAGATTGGTAGCACGATTTCACATTAAATGCTATCATACGAAGTATTTCCGGGACAGTACGTCCCTGTACTTTGAACAACTCGTGTCTGTGGCACGCAGGAGTATAGTCGGTGACGGCGGCAGTGCACGATATATCCTTACTGATGGCAGTAGGGCGCGAAAAAAGCCCTTTTTTTAAAAGTTACCAAAAATATCACTGATTCATCATTTTTCCCGTTTTGGATCAAAGCAGAACGTTTTATTTAAAGCAAACCTATCTTCGTACCTATATGTGTTGATGATGAAATGTTTCTTTGATTCAACAAAGCCTATTTCATTCAAGAAAGCGATTCACAAAGAGAGAAGGGAAGGGCCCTGGCCCTCCTCGCGTTCTCTGACCGGGACCATGAGGATGGTCTGGAAATTAACGCAATTTAGCGTCCCCTTGCGCACGCTCGCACGCACGCACGCACGGAGGGTCCAAAGCGAGCACGACAGTGACAGAGGGCCCAGCGCGCGCCCTGTCATTTGGCGGCGCGTCCAGCAGGAGGAAATTGTTCCAGCCGAGCGCCGCCGCCGCTCCAGCTCGGCTCCGGTCCAGGCGGCCCAAATTGAGTCGCGCTGATTTAATTTGTAACCGTTAGTTTGCACTCGTCTCTTGTCTGTGTGATTGTTGTGTGTGTGTGTGTGTGTGGGTGTGCGTGTGCGCGCGTGAGTTAGAGGCGAATGGTAAACACTCACCGTGTGCTGGACCGTCGCACGTCGCGTCGCAGACTCTCCCTTTCTCTCGCACACACTTCACACTCCCCCGTTGTCACCTAGTTGTTTTCCCCGTAACCCCCCCTATCCCCTCTCTCCATCCATC